ATAAGTGCACAAAATGACTTCTAATACTTGAATAAAGGCCGAAATGTGCATGTGTACACCTGAATTATTCACATGAGTGATTACATTTATTTTCTTATTTGATTATTACATTTTACGATATCAGCTGAAAGTTATAAATAAATACTATTTTGAAACGTCACTTATGTTGCAATGTGTAGTTTCGTAACTAAGCATAAATTGCAAAAAAAAAGTGTTGCAATACTATATCCTTATTGGGTGTGGGGTATTATGGTGTTTTGTATCATTATAGAATTGCCAGTAGGGGCCCTGCTTTCCTATTTATGACTGAGTGTAGTTACTTTTTTGTTAGTCTACTTAAATATTAAGCTTTAGGATTAGCCTTTGCAGTTTCAGCTTTAATGTGTATGGTCCTGCAGTAAAGGAACCCTAGTTTTACTCCATGTAGCAAGAATATTTAAACCTGTTTTGTAGGTCACGCTGCACATCTTTTCAGTCAATGTTTGACATCCTATCATTCTATATTGGGAGCTAGAGTCTTTGACTTTCTAAGATAGCAGTTGTTACATCTCGACTTTCTGGTCTCACAAATCAGTAATCAATTGATAAAACTGAAATAGGCAATAAAAAGCAACATATTTTCAATGCTCCTTGCTTACTTCCTAAAATTACAGATTGTTTTGAGTTTCTGTTAAATGAAGAAATGAAAGTTTTGCTTCCCCTGAAGAGATTTACCTTAGTCCTAAACACAAAAAAAAATATATAGCAAAAGGATCAATTACTAAATGGGATTTACCACCATACCATCCAACAACCAGCTGTATTTGGTCATCTCCTCCAATCTAGGCAGCAGAAGACGCGTCATGACATGGTCTGGCACAAGCAATCCTTTTTTTATATACGTCTTAGCTAGAATACCAGCCTCTGCAGAAACGACAATGAATGGAACACATATCTTTCATACTAATCATCAAACTTGTGGCTTTACACATATCGTTAATAAACTGTTTTCTATGATGTTTCTTCAAGAATGGAAGCAACTAAGATACTTTTATTTATGGCCATACTTAAAATGCAAACATAAACTTTAACTGAGACAAATCAATTATTAATCATATGGTTTTAACTAGCAACTATTGTTAATCATATAATAGATCGGAGCAGTCACATGAGAGACTTGAGACATTGATACCCAATAATTTCATTCAGAATTTTATCTACAAGCATACAAATATCAAAGTATGATAAAATTCCTAATGTCACTGCACAAATTACAACATTTTACAATTAAAAACTAGCCTAAACATGGATGGGCTCATGGTTGGAACAACTATTGTGTATTTTTTCTTTGGTAGCTAAATCAGCGCTCAGCCTTCAAAGTTTTAAATGGACAAATATATTTTGTATAATGTGTGTTAATGCAAAAGGTTACCTTAATCATAATTATCTTAAAAAAGTTCGATTCTTTTCAACTTAAGGCTTTAAGCCCCGTTCACACTAAGAACGATAACTATAAAGATAACGATATTAGCGTCCACACCAGCGAACGATATCATCCGTTTATTCTAAGCACACATGCGTCTGCCGCTTTAAATTCTTGAGCTCGTTACAGCAGGATGGATTCTGATTGGCTGTCGATTTTTTTATCGTTCATCAGCTGGGGAAAAAATCGTGTTGAAAGTGATTCCAACGATATCGTTCCTCTTTGTCTTTATCTTTATATTTGTGGTGTGGACTCTGCTATTCTTTAATATTGAGAACGATTTTTAGAACTATATCTTTATCGTTATCTTTATAGTTATCGTCCTTGGTGTGAACGGGCCTTTATACTAAAAGGATCTACCAGCCATCATAACTTTACTGAGCATGAATAAAAAGTCTACTCTAACTAATGTGTTTATTAGTAGGCTATACAATATTAGTATGAAAATTCATCTGTCTTTATCTACATAAATGAATGCCAGCTGAAGTCTTAATAAGGGAGGCAGGTATGGCAACAGTGCAATAAAACAGAAATGTGGAGTGTCATCTTGCCAGCATGGCAACTTTTTAAGGCATTTACCTCACATGAACACAAACATCATGACGCCCGCGGGTGTACCAACCACATATTCCAGATTGGAAGGACCAAATGTTGAAGTTAAAGAATCGATAACCCGCTAATCTGAACATATAAACCGCAACAGTGGTTCCGCCCCTTCATATGGTCAACGCATCCCTTCTTTTTCACAGTAGCTGTGTCTCAAAACCCAGCAAGATGCCTATATTTGTTGGCATCGACATGCTTGTTTCCAGAGATAACGAGCGTCCAGGAAAATCACACGTTAGCAAATTTGTGAAAAGCACGTACCAGTTTTCGCTGCGATGTTTTCTCGTACAAAGTCTCCACTAGACAAATGTTTAAGGCCGAAACTGTGCGCGATCCTCTCGGATATGGTCCCCTTCCCTGAGCCTGGTGGACCCATGATTACAGCCCGGAATAACTTGGACATTTCCGCACTGAACTGCCCTGTTTAAAACAATACGAGTTCAGCATTACAAGTGAAATCATGCAACTCGTGCACTTATTTAACGCGTTTGCATTACAATTCACAATTCTGTTGAAGCAGCTCTTCAGTGCAGAATGAGGGTGGGGGCCTGTAACATCGAATAAAGCCACAAATTCATACACAAAGTCACGACTTTAAAAGTTATAAGTCAAAAACAACAAACAAACTTACCCACCCAACAGAATACGTTACTGTACTATTAAACTGTTATTTCCACGGTAAAGACAGAGCCCGTGGTCACTGTTCATTAAAACTGGACAGCCTTTCGCTGACGCGCCGCCTACTGCTCTTTATGTAGACGTGAGCGTCTCCTCTCTGCAAATGAATGGAGCAGAAACATAAACGCCCTATTTTAAAACGCCTCTGGTACTGCATCGCACTGAAAAATATGCCCAAGCTAAACCGCATAGGAGTCCGGTCGTTGTAGTATTAAGTTGTTTAAGTAGTATTGGTTAAAAAAATAAACAGTGATTGAATTGTAAGCAAAACTGTTTTTTTTCTTGTGATAAATGTATTAATATGTAAATTTTAAATTAGTTAAGTGATAAATAATGACAGCTTCACTATTATGCCAAAGGACATCGGAGCGTTTCTCAACGGCTCTGTGAGCGGTGCAATGTTGCTATGGTTACGTTACCTCAGGCGAACCCGATTTCTGTTTGTGATCGTCTGTGTACTTACCGCAAGTTAAAAACATTAGGTTTGTTGAAATGTGTCCAACTTTCAGGTTCCTAATATGGTTATTTGGAGAGTCAGAGGCACAGATGATTATTTTGCAAGAGGATCTTTCCAGAAGAAAATAAAAAACTTAGGTACATATTGCATACGCACAATTCGCGTACTGGTGCACGTTTCTGTGCCATTTTATTCCAAAGAGAAATGCATTTTAAATGTCCGGATGATGCACTTATTTAAATGAAAAGGTTAAATAGTTTAAAAAAAAGTTAAAACTCAACTGTTGCAGCTTTCCTTAAGGGAGGGGGAGGGTTAATCATACTCCGATGTTGTATGGCAAAATAACCTTATAAATGTAATACACTACGTACGTAGTGTGCATACATCATTTGGGACACAGGACTACTGTTATTCTCTCCACATGCAACAAACTGCGTCAACACATTGGTAAAACTGGTGTGATATTGCCCCCTGTCGGATTTAGGACAATATACACTTGTTGACTGTGATGTAGGTGAAAAAATTCCGCAGATGCCACAGCACTGTTTACTTTAGTTTTCAAAAATGGGCCACTGACTGATGCCATAGCGCAAACTGCCAAATAGGGCTGCAAAATCATAAAATCATATATAACTGTATTAAAATTAAAACTTTTCTTAAGTACTAAAACACACAAAAAAACTTTGATGTAAAATGACATTTCATATTTTAATTTGTCTCCTCAACAACAGTTGTTTTTATTGAATAATATACAGTTCTGACTTCTGGAATCACAGCATTAGTCGGTTAATTATTTTATCCATCGACTTGATTCTGTCAATAAACAAAGTTTAAAAAATAGGCTGTTTTGTCATCGTTACATCAAAAATGCCACAGGAAATATTTTACGTAGGTGGCCTTGGAGTCAAAAAGGGTAAAAACCACTGAAATAGTCAGCTATTATCCCATGTCAAACATTTATTTCCGAGGTGCCTTACGGTGGCGTCAGAACATAAGAGATATTAAACGCAGTTCACTTCGGGTATGCAATGTAAAAATCAGTCGACTTTTTAAACCTTCTATATGGCAGGAGTCATTCTGCACTAAGAAAGTGGTGAACTTTGAGCGTCAGGACCCGGAAGCGTGTTATTTTATTGTCACATGGCTTGAAGATTTCAATAACAACAAAAAATGGCGACAATCACGTTGTTCGCTGTAAGGCTTGCTGCGTCATTAAAAATATTCACGTAAACAAGGGAGTTCAGCGTTGAAAATACAGGTAAGTACTTTTGCAGTCGGTAGAATAGTACATATGTCTAACTGTGATAGTGATATTATATTAGTTTTTATGTTAGAAGAATGTAGTGTTTGTTTTTGCCGTGAGAGGGGTGTGCGCGCGCGCTGTTGGGCGTTAGCGCGCATCAATATAGTACAATAAGACGAGTCGCAAGATATCCGACAATTTAACGAATCGACATATCAAGTAGAACAACTGATATATACACAGAATATTTACAGTACCTGCTGTGATATTATATGACATGATCATGTAATGCTGTTTCGTGTATTAACTTATGTATAATTGATTGTAGATACTGACCTCGTGACGTTCTAACGGGCTTTTTGCTCAAACACGTCTTGTATTCATGTATAGTTTATACATTATATTGCTGGAATGTTCCTAACATAAATCATTTTATTTAAAACTGCACTTTTATCAAACATCAACATTTTTCTATGAGAAGTCGCAACACACTATAACAGCTAATATATTCCCGTTTTAACCCATTGAAATGTTTTCTCTACTTTTTCCCCCCGAAACAGCCGCTAGAGGAATGTTAGGCAAATGTTTTGTCATTATTTGGCAGGCGTTTCCACTGTCCTGAGATGGCAAACACGACGCGCTGATGGAGTTGTTTACAAGAAGAGATTCGTACGAGGGCGGGGTTTGCGGGATGATGTGGGAGGAGCCAAGCGCTTGCCAAATACGAGAGCAAAGTATAGAAGGTGGAGTCAGAGTTACCAAAACAAGTCTGTCGTCACAGGGGTGGTGTGTATGAATAATTAAAGCTCAAAACGAAGGTATTGAATCTCCTGCTGTCAGATTGACAGCGGAGTTGACATCTAATGGAGTGTATCCTATGAAAATATGGCATAAAGTCCAATCATGATATTAAAATTTCTACTTCGTATAAGTTATGTTTAATAATAAAAATTCTTTAATGATTGCATATACTCATTCCTATAATATACACAGATGGAATTGTCAGATTTATTTAGCCTATATTATATATTAACTGTTATATTTTGAAAACAGTAAACATCACATATTGATCTGATATTTATGAAAGTGATAGTTGTTATCCCAGAACGAACATGGACAAGAAGATGTGTGAAGAACTACCGCCCTGGCTCTGCTTGATGTGACAGGCTGCCCTGGTTCAGTTATCACAGTGCTGATGCTGTTCATCTTAAAGGTACAGTACTGTGATAACTGAAGGATGGCTGCCATCTTGACATCTAGCCTCACAAAAATATTTTTATTAACAGGTGAGAAAGAGGGAATAATAAAAAACAAAACATGAAAACAAACATCACAATAAAGTTAAATACAGAGAAATCTCTGCTGAATCCTGTTTTAATAATAAACTGTCAAACTGTTGGTTGCTTTCTAATTTTATATATGAGATAATGCACATTATGGTTGCTTGTCATCAGTGTAATGTTAAATTATCCTCCTAGGATCTAGCAAAACGTTTTTGACATTTATTTTGACATTATGTTGTTGTTTTGGGAAATAAAAAATCATATAAAAATATTACTCACTTTTCACTCATGTTTTTCCTGTAGACATCATGACTATAAAGAAGGCAACATTTCAGTTTGCATTTCATTTAATGTTTTCTACAGTTTCTTTTTTTTATGTGTCCTCTGTAACATTTGATTTAATAATTTCTTTTAAGTTTATGAAGGATTTTTTTTATTATTTATGCTTTGTATTTTATGCACACTACTAAATGAATTATCTTTTTTTCCCCAGAATTTTGTTACAGAAATATCCTTTTCAAATAGACACTTGTAATCAAACTTTGCACAGACTTTAGTTTCTATGTTTTTCAAAGTCTACAGAATGTATATAAGTTATAACAACATTGGTACATCCTTATTTATTATGCAAATGTATGTAAATATTAGCAGAAATGGGAATTCCCATCCTTTTACATATATTAACATTTGTTTTAGGGCAACTTGCTACAAAAAAGATGTTTACTTACATGCAACAATTTGAAAACCAAACAAATAGAAGTTTAAAAAAATAATACCTGCTTTTCTGTTTCCATAAAATTGTGCTGATATGTGATGTCAGACATTTAAAAGCCATGAAGAGAAAGATGTCATGGCCAAACCCCAAAACATTTGGAATCTCTGAAAAGCCCATTATGTCAATTAAAATGGGCACGTACAGCATGTTTTTTTTTTGTTTTTTTTTCCAGAAATCCATTAAAAGCCAATGGTTTCTGCAAAGGAAGAAATTGAATTTCTCAGTTCTAGGAGGTTAATATATTGAATATCATTGTGTATAATATCAAAGCATATATGATGTATAAATTATAATAGAGTTACTGAAAACATTTTATTGTGTTCATACCATTTAGACGCACACCATGAAGATTTAAAATATAGTATGATAAGTGTTTTCTGCCCTTTTTGTTTTATATTATTACAGAAATTTCGCCATGCTGTAAGTAAATTAGACCCAGGCAAAATCCTCTGTCACTTGCCCCTTGTTTCATCAGCCCTTTTAACTCTTGAGTCATCTGAACATTTTTAGAATCATACAGTAAGGTGAGTAAGTGGTTTCTGTAATGTTGTGATACATGAAAATGCAGTTATAAAAATAACTGTTTAAAAAAAGTTTCAGAAAAAAAACCGTTTTCTAGTCTGAAGAGCAGGGTCATTCTCAATTTGATGTTTACATGTTTTTAGGAAATCCTCTTATCTAAATATTTACTGAATTTCTGTCTTTCTTCAGATGAAAAACGCATTATAGCTTTTAGATGAGTGCTTATGAGAGTATTGCACGTAGACTCATCACTGACCAATTATAGCCTATGACTCATCCAACGATAGGAGTTTCCAACTGGACCTTTTCCCCCCCAGTGTTTGTCAACATATCTCAACGCATATTTGACATAAATAGGTAATGTTGCAAATCATTCTGACATGTCTGACAACATTTATATGGAAATGTTGATAATGTATAGACAAAAATCTATTTAATAGTAGCATTTTTACTGATCATTTTACTCTTAAAACCCATAAAACTCCAATACACACAGTCTAATATTGTTTCATATATCTACGCGAACTGCTGTTGAACATATTGATCTGCCACATTCTCCCAATGTGCTCTGCAGTGCAGCCCACAGTTTCTGGCAACTCATATGATGCTGAGGACGGGAAGTCCCTCCCTTTCACGGCAGTCTTAAACCTCATGGTCTTAAAAGACCGTAATCAGAGAGGGCTTTGTGTTTTGCTGCTACCTATTTTAAAACACAGACACTGTACCTGTAAAGCGGAAACAGCTGCTTCATTAAGTTAGGATTAGGACTTTATGGCCAAAAATAAACAACAGTAATGAAATGTAACAGTTCATTAA